CTTATCTTGAATGTATTTTTTTTCTTTCTTTCTTTCTTTCTTTCTTTCTTTCTTTCTTTCTTTCTTTCTTTCTTTCTTTCTTTCTTTCTTTCTTTCTTTCTTTCCTCTTTTTCTTTTTGCTTTGGACTCACACATTCTCAAACAAAAGATATAACTTATGGCTGTGAATTGCACCATTAATGAAAAATTGAGGCCCTCATAGGAGCCAGATTAGCCAATCTGTTTGTTTTCCTGGTTGCTTGTCCATGGCAAGATTTATTTTCATTAACAGAAACCCCAAAGCACTTATTATCTTGAAAAACCTTGAACCTGGGGGAAGTGTGGGAGAATGGAAAAGAAAGCTGTAATACTACTACAAGGGTGTCATTAAAACCTACTGTTGTGGTAAACAAAGCACATATACTGCAGCCATGCAAACACTACAAAAAGAAACAGGTGTTACATAGAATCTCCAGAAATTAAAAGACAATTCTATATTATGCTTTGAAAGGAGATCAAAATGGTTGAATAATCCTAATATTTATTCACTTTTTCAGCGCCAATATTGGAAACCCAGAGAAAGTTACCATGCAAACCCCTGAAGATCTGGGGCTCCACTAATTCATGGATGAAATACATTTGTATGATTTTTTTTTCTTTCTTTTTAATTACAGTAAATTATGTTGAATTCAAAATATTGTCATGTTTTTATTGTGAACCTTGTTTACTAGGACACTTTTCCCCATGTGATTGTGAATAAACATCCACGTTTTGAGGAAGAATATCAGTGTAACAAAGCTGCATCTTTGGAGTTGTTTCTTTTTTATTTATCATTTATAGCATAGATTTATTTATGTTAGATTTTCCTATATTTTAACATTATCCTACTCCTTTTGTGTATACAGAGCTGTATTTACATGATGCATGGGCCCCAAAACACTAAAGTCTAGGAACCAAAGTAATGCTAAGGATTCTATTTATATTTTTATTACATAAACATTATGTTATGTTATGCTGAATTGGACCCTTGGCCCATCAGATCAGCACCACTTTTCATGTTAACTGAATTCCAAAGTTTAATTACATGTTGTGCAAAACCCCCCGCAGATTTATCTGTTGTTTCCAAGATTCAATTACATTGGATGACCTCTGATTTTAATACTGTATTTTGTGAAAAGGAAAATAACTTCTCCTTATTCACCTTATCCACACCATGCATAACCTTGTACACTTCATTTGTATTGTGACTGTTATTCACTTTCTTTCTAGATAAAAAACGCCCCAAATATGACACCTTTTATAATAGGAAAGCTGCTTCAGTCCTTGATAATCCTAGCTGCCGTTCTTTGAACCTTCTCTATACTGGTCACCACACTTCTTTGAACCAGAGTAACACAAAACATTCCAGATGAGATGCACCATTAATTTAATAGCATTATCATACTAGCATCCCTGTTTTCTTATCTCTAACAAATTATTGGCCTTTATTTTAGATGATGTTGAAGTCTTTATTGAATGGTTTATCATTACTCCAAGATCTCTTTCCTCATCACTCATCATTACTAACTCAGATCCCCTTGGTTTGTATGAGTAGTTAGGATTTCATGGCTGGGACTCGTTTGTTGATAAGGGCTAGTTTCCAGATGTCTGGTAGGTGGGAGGAAGCGTCCTGTTTGTTCATGCTATGGGGGTGTTTCTCTATTTTGATGGCTTCAACATGGAATACTTCAACAAGATAATCAGGGAAGCCATCGAAATAGAGAAACCCTATTTTCCCTTCAGAAATTGTAGTTGCTCCAACACTGAAGGTTTTAAAGAAGAGATTGGACAACCATTTGTCTGGAATGTTATAGGGCCATGATGGCGAACCTATGGTACACGTGCCACAGGTGGCACACAAAGCCATTTGTGCCGGCATGTGAATTGCAGGCAAACTTACCTCACTGCGCATGTGCACACCTCATAGCTGATTTTTGGCCTGTTTGAGGCCTTTTTCGGCCTCCCAGAGGTTTGAGGACAGCTTCTGCAGCCTTTGCAGGCCGAAAAATAGGCCCATTTTGTCACTTCCAGTAATATTGGAAGTGACGAAACGGGCCTATTTTTTGGCCTGCAAAGGCTGCAGAAGCTGTCCTCAAGCCTCTGGGAGGCCAAAAAAGGCCCCCAAAAGGCCCAAAAATCAGCTGAGAGGGACCGTGCAGGTAAGGGGGCAGTGGGGGAGATTGCGCACACATGCACAGGGGGCATGGGGGGCACACACATTGCCTTCTGGGTGCTGGCACATTTTTGGCACAGGAGCCCCAAAAGGTTAGCCACCACTGTTATAGGGTTTCCTTCTTGAGCAAAGGGTTGGACTAGAACACCTCCAAGGTCCCTTCCGACTCTGTTGTTCTGTTAAATAAGCAACCTTAGCTTACTCATCCTTATTGCCATTAGACCCTCAGTCATGCCATATTTCATTCACTCTGAAGTAGAAGAGTTTACAGCCCCCAAACTATTCATTCATTCCCCCATTCAGAGTTTACTCACAAGCATCCACACCAGCGTTCCAGGTATTTGCCTAATTGAGTCACACCCTGCCATTTTTATGAACCTCTTGACATAGGCAGTCTCACCTCTCCCAGGCCCTTAGCCTAAAAAGCTATGGATATCTTGTAGGAGAGAAAGATAAGAAGACAACCAACAGGCAAGAAAGTGGGAACACACAACTATTACAGGTAAGCAAGAGGATTATCAGTCAACTGTCAGAACTACAAGGAATGATAAGCAGCCCATTATGGTGTGATTCCTGTCTGCAGCTTGGCCCAAGCTCAGTAAGAACTAAGGGGCAACCACCCTGAAGCAGCACCTAATCCCAACATGTGAAAGAACTTTGAAAGGAGGCAAAGGTTGTATGCCACTTTACACAATTTAAAACATTTTTTATAAGGACTAACCATCAATAACTTACTTACATGCCTATGTTAACTTGCAAAACTAGGGAAGCAGAGTTAACCCTGAGCAAAAGCCTAATTTTAGGAAAGGTGTGTCTTCTACTGCTTTGTTGGTATTCCTGAATACGGCATGTCACAGTGACTTTCTGTATGCGATCCCCAAAGTGGCCTCTGAAAGTTACCATGACAGTTATCCATAACAGAGTCGTGTTTGATTATGAGAAGTGTCCATCGCAGCACAATGCAAGGCTGTTGGGAAATTCGGTTTGAAGAAGACCCACTATTGATTGGTGAGGAATTCTGCTGGCCAGGTGCCAATAAACAACCTGTTGTGGTTCGCCGGCAGCCTGTGCAGATGGCAGCGGAATCAGACAGTGGGGAAGAATGGGGACCAGTCCAGCAGTCTGGGGAGGACTTGGACGAGGGTCTTACGTCCGATGCAGGGATGGAGCCAGGACTATCTGAGAGTTGTGTGCTGACTCCGGAGCCTGGCAGCAGCGAGGCAGAGGAACAAAGGGAGCCTGTTCCCAGTATGTGTATGCGCAGAGCTGCTAGAAGGCAACAGCAAATAAGACAAAAGGGCGACTCAGGAGTAAGGCTTGGAGGTGATTGTCCCTCCCTAAGGTATAAAGGAAGTGCAAAGGTAGAGAAACCTTTGCAGAAAGCAAAGTCGTCCATTCTGTTTGGATTAAACCTTGAAGCTCTGTGTGGACTTTGTACTTCGGTTGGTTTTTTACAGTTAATTTGGCACTTTAGTTGTTGGCAGCAATTCAAAGGAGATAAAGATGGGTGCTTATCTCGAGGGACTGTTTGGGGCTGGGAAAGAAAATAATTCGCAGCATTGAAATAAAACAAGAGTTGTTTGGATTGTGTGTGCTTAACAACCCACATTGTGCTAATGTCAGCAATAATTAGATAACAGTATGAATCTTGCAAAATTATGAAGGTATTTGAACATCAAACATTAAAATCTGAAATTAAATCCTGAGTGTTTCAAATGAATTCCAAATAAAAGGCACTTCATACATTTTTGTGTATCAAAAAATGCCCAATTTCTTATTTAATCATTTATCACATAGCAAAAACAGGTAAAGCTCATACTATATGGCATAGTAGTTGGTTTAAAAACTTTAAACTTGGTGCTCTCTGCATGATTAATTGAAACATTTCATAAAAGTCAATTGTGTATGCTACTCTTTGCTAATAGCTACAAGGATATGTCAAATTTTCTGAAAAGAAAACAATTAAAAAGAGTATACTACAGGTTTCCCCACTCAAATGGATGAATCCACTAATGTTTTCAGGTTTATTAATCTTTCTCATGTTGTGCTTGTGCTGAATCATCTGTGGAAAAAGATATGCCTTTTTGCAAACCTTTTCCTACCTGAACTACAGGAAGTACAATAGTTACATTGATCTATTTTACATTTATGCAAAAAAAACCACAAAATATCTTTGGATTTGTATTGCAGTATATGGAATGATAGAGCAGCAGTTATAGTCAGAATATTGTAAGGTTAATGGGGCCCACATGAAAAATACAGCTCCGCCTATTAAACATAATCACTGCTGTCTTGTCATTTATTTGTAATACATGGCAGCAGAACTCAGGATTGTACCCAACAAGGCAGTTAAAATCACAAATCTTACACACTCAACTCTAAGGCATTTACTGTGTTGTGTTGTCTAGAGAACCCATTGCTACTGCATATTGAAGTGAGATGAGTGTTTCACACAGAGGTGGTATTCAGCAGGTTCTGACCAGTTCTAGAGAACCGGTAGCAGAAATTTTCAGTAGTTTGGAGAACCGGCAAAGACCACCTCTGACTGGCCCCGCCCCCATCTCTTCTCTGCCTCCCGAGTCCCAGCTGATCGGCTCGGTCTTTTGTTGCCCTGCACAGGAGAATGGAGCTGGAAAGCAGGTTAGCGGGGTGGGGAGGGAATGGGGATTTTGCAGTAACCTTCCCCTGCCCTATCCACCAAGCCCTACCCACCAAGCTCACCACACCCACCAAGCCACACCCACAGAACCGGTAGTAAAAAAAAATTGAATCCAACCACTGGTTTCACAGCAAATATTTATTTCATTTTAAATGAAGATTTAATTTAAGTGGTAAGAAGATATATTTCTTTTTTATAGGAACATCCTTTTGAACTAGCGCAGAAATTGAGTGGCAATTGTTGGATGCAAAAGATTGTATACTTGGCTGATATATTTACTTATTGGAATGATACTAGAGTTTCACTGCAAGGTACACATATAACTAGATTCAAATAACAAAGGCGAATGAATGCAATTCAGTTTACACATTGAAGTGAATTTCTAAAATAATTGTATGTGCTTTCCAAATCTTCCAAACAAAACATCCCTCAGGGAAAATGTCAAAACCTTGGTGATATAACACCTATCTGATTTATGTGCCACAGGAAGAGTATATTTTCTCCTTTAAAAGAAAAAAATTAACCAGGTCCAGAATCATTATGTTCACTATACTGCATCTGAACTACCATTAAAGAAGAAACAACGTAGGTCCAGTTTAACTAATTTCACATTATAAACCACATTCCCTTGTGCAGATTTTCTGGCCTAGAGCTTCTAAAAAAATATTGCCTGTCAAGTTTGAAATACCTTATGCCATTTGCAATAACATACCTTTGAAAGAGAACAAGCCAGCAGAGAAATAGACTAAGTATAAAAGATGATCTCTGCTTACGAGTAGCATCAATTGTTCCAAATATTGAACTTTTTTTCCAAGGAATGCAATCAGACCTAATAATTGAATATTGATCTGTTTGGTTAAAACATTAATCTCCCAAGTTAATTGTGAAATTAAACTTTTTATTTTTTGCACATTCAAAATGTTAATTTTGCATTTACAATAATCAGTTTACTTTTTGCTTTACTGCCAATTTCTATCATTAGAATATCATTATCTGCTTCGGCTTGGACACAAGAATGGTCCTCTACTGTTCCTCCATAGGGTCGCAATGTTCCCTGCTTTACAGCTGAACCAAAAGGATTCAATCTATCCCATAAAACCTAGTCAATGCTCACTAGGATTAGGACTCATCATGGCAGGTGCACCACTATACTCTTCCATAAACGGGGAAAGCTCTCTGCTTCAGAATGGGGCTGTGGGTCTCCAAGTAAACATACTGTGGAACAGTGCCCCCAGGGAAACCAATACAGGAGAGAATTTGTAGCTCAAATGAGGGGTCCTTGATGCTCTCTGAACTTGGTTGTTTTCTTGCAGATGTTTCATCACCAAAACTAGGTAATATCATTAGTGCTGTTACCTAATTTGGGTAATGGAACATCTGCAGGAAAACAAACAAACTGTTGCGCACCAAGCATCAGGAAAACCCCAGAGACTTTATACAACTTCATCATGCATTGACTATATAAATAAATAAGTAAATTTGTAAATAGAGTAAACAGTTTCACATTTGCTCACTGAGAATGTAATTGTGACGTGATTTTTAACATTTTCATCATACACTAAATAAATAATTCTGTCATTAGTGCATTTCCTCTTGGTCTAGGATTCCAGGAGTTTTTCTTTTAACTAAGTTTCCACAATCTGAAAAGTTTGACAAGCTCTGAAGTGCAACATTATTAAGTACACTATGAATTTTCCAAAACTTACTTGCAAAAAGTTGAGGTAATGAGATTGATCTAGAATAATTCCAAAGTGGCATTACTTGAATTTTAAATACAGAGTGATGAAATGTTCTATTAAGAGAATTAAATCAGTAACTTCTATGTAGGAAAGGTGAGTCAAGGACCAGCCATCATTATTTGTGAAGTATTGTACACTATTAGAGTACTTTTCTGAACATAATGACTATAATAAATCAGTTCACTCTTAAAATAACAAGTACAGTACTTTTTAAAAGTTCACAATTTCTTTCTCTTCATCCCTCTCTCAGCAGCCTTATACTTATATAAATTATAGTTTATATTTAAAAAACTAGATCCTCTTGAAGCCTAAGAGAAGACTGTATGTAACTTTAGTAGGAAAACAGAAACCATTGGCTATTGGACAGAGCAATCTTAGGTTGAAAGATTATTGATTTATTAATGTAGATGGTATTCTCCCTTACATACAAATAGACTTGTATTTTGGGGGTTTGATTGCTTCTGTAACCTTTATAGCTTGTTGATTTTTGCAGCCCAGATGTGATAAACTTATGACAATACAACCCTTTCCTGCTTTCTTGGGATACCACTGATTTCCTTATCTACTCTCAATTTTGGTTTTTTGGATTTGGAACTATAGCTACACTGAGACTGAAAGGCATACATAAAGTGCTGTCACTCTACAAAACAACTCCACAGATTTCAGGTTAGCCCAATTGCTGATTTTAGAAGAAGATAATTTTAATGGCATTTCAGGTTATTATGCTTTTATATTAAATTATAAATGGCTCTGGCAATTCTTCAGAGATAAGTGTTACACTAAGTGGTCACCTTAAAACAATCAAATAAAAGAAATACAGTACTCCACTTCATATCGCTAGGGAAGAACAGATAGTCCTTATTTAACAACCACAATTGGGACTGGCATCTTCATCACTAAATGACATGGTCATTAAGTGAGTCATGACATTACTGTGGCTTGCAATTTTACAGCTGGCTTCTTCATTAACTTTGCTTGTTGGAAGCCAGCTGTGAAGTGCACAAATGGGGATCAAGTGATCATTAGGATATTGTGGTGGTCATAGTTTGAGAACCAGTCATAAAGTAACCTTTCAGTGTGATTGTAACTTCAAACTGTCACTAAACAAGGCAATCATTGACCAAGAATTATAAAAAAAATCTGTTAAAATTTATATTTTATGAAGCTTATTGAGTGCATGGTAAGTTAAAACTTAACTTAAAAAAAAAGACAATTTTAGTGAATGCTAGTCTTGCTGGGCACAGGAAAGCTGACCAATAGATACATTCAGTCAATAAAAATATACAAATAGGTTTGATAATGAGTACTTTACAGTTAATATTGTAGAAAAAGATATTTACAACAGGAAACTTATGTTACATTTTGGGTACTTTGAAATTTTAATTTTTATGTAACATTATATTATTTATGTAACATATTATTTTGAACATTTTAGCAAAATATAAAACTACACACTGTATTTTGCAAAGAAAAGACAGATACATTTTCAACTGATTTCGTTCCTGGCTACCGTATTTGAAAGATAATTATTAGATATGTCCCTGGTGGGCTACCTCCAATATGCCAAGAGCAACAAAACTCTTTATTCCCCTCTTCCTACATCCTGTAGAAGCATAATGTGTTGCTTCAGAGTAAATTTTACATTAATGCAAAGCACCAACAAAAACAGTTCCATTATTATAATATATCAGCTCCCAATCAGGAAGAAAAGTGTTATTTTGGGAAAAGAAGTAGCTATGGTGCTAGAAATGCCATTGCTTCCAGGTTTGTTGTAAATTTTTATAACAAAACTAATTAAAATTATATATTAGCAAATTGTTGAGATTTTTTTTTATTGCAAGTATCAATCATAAATGTAAATTGTCATAAATCTCTATGGAGATTCTCAAGCATCCAAATCTCTTTGAGCTTCATGTGACCATAAAGATATGAGAATCAGATTCTAACCACATTACCAATAAAGGAGAATATTTGTAGCTCAGGATTGAAATGAGGGGTACTTGGTGCTCACAGAGACCCCATTAATCACATTACTCAGAAAAGCCTTCATGGCTACACCAGTTCTAGCGTAGTGTGACTCCATTAAAACTGGATGAAAAGCCTGCAGGATCAAGTAACAGTACAAGGGTAAAGCAGTGACAGAAGCTAAATAATAGCTTTTAAACTAGGACTGCTGATTTAGTAACACTAAAGTGATTTAAAAAATTTAGGCTCCCAGAAGAATCTGGAATGATATTGAATTCCTTTTAATTACTTCTATCAATTAAATTTGTGCATTCCACATCCAATTAAAACAGGCAGAACATATAGATTTGCGGCTTCAGTTAATCTTTAATTCCTTTTTCAATCTAGCTCATATTGTCCTAATTCCCTGCAACAAGAACTTGAAGAAAGCTAGTAGTAGCTATATATTTAGCAGCTGTTTAAAAAAAATACTATAGCTCTAATGGCATTAAAAAAAAAACTCTTTGGAGAAGGGTAACAGTTAAGGGCAAAATATGAGTCAAAGACAGTGCCAGGCAAATTAATTATTTGTGTAGCATGACTGGAGAATTTTATATTTCCTGCTCCACATAGTCACTGTACAGTAAGATTCTTTTAGTACTGTATTATCAATCTTAGCTGCTCTAAATATGTTAACCAATTCACAGAATTCCCCAGCAAGCATACTGCCTGGGGGATTTTGGGATTTGAGGTCCATACATCATAAAAGTGCTAAGGTTGAGAAGCACTGGTTTGGTGTACCACTATACAGAAGATAAAAGTTCTAAGAAATGAAACTACAAGAAAAAAGTATATTTACAAAGTTGGAAAGCCAGTTGGCTATCTAACTTTCCTATTATTGCCAGATCTTGATTACCCCATCCCAGCCACAGGTGGCAAGAAGCGATGGAAGAACTGGATGGTAGGTTGCATTCACACAGGCTTGACTATGTGCTGACATGGTACGGATAATTTGAGCTGTGCGATAGTTGTAGAAAAATACTTTGCCATCTGAACTCCCTGTCACAAGAAGTGTTCCATCGGGTGAAAATTCACAGCCTACAGCAAATCCTTCAACCTGTTTGAGTCAAGAATTCACAGTAAATAAATTAAGACGTTAATTAATGAATTACAATATGATCTATCTTCCTGAAATTTCACACTATAATAAACATGACAATTTTTACCATAATTTTTACCCTAATCGCTTCCCTAGATATTAGAGATTTGTCATGTTAGCAGTAGTTGTTGAATATGTGACACGCCTTTCTCTCTCCCCCCCTCCCCTCTCTCAATACCATCTATTACTAAAACTCTCTTTCCATAACCTTTCCATAAACATAATAGTGCATCATAGGGCACCAATTTTTGAACCAAGGCACCTCAAATGGGTTAATTCTCAGAATACACCCAAAATCTGAGACTCAGGACTTCTGTGGAATTGAAATTTGGCTGATTTTCTAAAATCTTTTATGATAAATATGATCATAAAACAGTTTATGACACAATACAAAATGTCATAAAATATTTTCTGTGCTGATGTTTGATTAGGCTATAGAGATCAACATGGCTATTTTCAAGGCAGTGTGCTAGAAATACTGTCACTGTTGAAGGCACTGAAGAATCTGGTAAGGAAATATCCCTGAAATGATGACCCAAAGGGTCACGGATTGTCTAGTTATTAACTAATAATGCTTTTAGTTACTTTATTGCAATTTAAATTCTACATTAACTAAACTACAGACAATAGTATTGAAGTCTATTAAATTGTATCCCTACTGAAAAGCAGTAACATAATTTGGTATATAAAAGGAATAAAACCCATTGATGGATGTATACCTTGTGCCCTTCAAACCTCTTCTTTTTGTTGATTCGATAAGGTGGCTGGCTGGAAAATAAAGCCATGTAGTTGCCATTTGTCTGAGCAACAAAGGCAGGCTCTTTAGGATGAACTGAAAGACAGGGGCAGGTAAAACGTTCCTGCAAAGAAAATTAGAAAGAAATGAAAATGGTCACAGACTCTGAATCAATTTATATAGGTCATATGATACCCCAGGCTCTGTTTGTGGCCCTCAACACTCTCCCCAAATCGACACCTTCAAAAAATTGGTGACCCAACAACAGGTTTAGAATACAATGTTAGGGGTGTCAAGAAAGATTGTGATTGTGCTTTAGATTCAGATCCAAAAAGGGTGCCCTAATATGCAAGGGGAGGGACACACACAATAGGATCTTGCTTACCATTCTTCCCCCAGGATCACATGGCAGCTGTAGAAAGCAACTGCACAAGAACACGCACCTTAAAGTTGTGACAAGTGCTGCACTCATGCTTCCTCATGTTCCAAAACCTCTCTTCTGAATTATTTCTAAAGTGCTACACAGCCCTAATATCAATTATCCAATTTACTTCATGTATTTATTTTATTTTTAAAATAAAGCCTCAAATACCTGAAATAAATATTTACCCTTTCCTATCCAGTGATATATAGAATAGGAGTAGGAGTAGGAGTAGGAATAGAACAGAACAGAACAGAATAACAGAACTGGAAGTGATCTTGGAGATCTTCTAGTCCAACCCCCTGCTCAGGCAGGAAACCTATACTATTTCAGACAAATGGTTGTCCAATCTCTTCTTCAAAATTTCTAGCATTGGAGCATTCACAACTTCTGGAGGCAAGTTGTACCACTGATTAATTGTCCTAACTATCAGGAAATTTCTTTCCACCCATTGCTTCTTGTCCTGCCCTTAGATGCTTTGGGGAATAGCTTGACTCCCTCTTCTTTGTGGCAGTCCCTGAGATATTGGAACACTGCTATCATGTCACCCTGAGTCTTTCTTTCCATTAAACTAGGCATACCCAGTTCCTGCAACCGTTCTTCATATGTTTTAGCCTCCAATCCCCTAATCATCTTTATTGCTCTTCTCCGAACTCTTTCTAGAGTCTCAACATCTTTTTTACAACGTGGCAACCAAAACTGGATGCAGTATTCCAAGAATGGCCTTACCAAGGCATTATAAAGTGGTGTTAACACTTCATTAACTTTCATGAGATATTTTTCCTAATATCAATTCCCATCATTTTTGTGAAAAAGTTTGCAGATTTTCCAAACTGAGTTTATGAGCAAACTGCAGATCCTTCAAAGTGCTAATCAAATTGAAATTATTTAAACATGTTTATCACAACGTAAGTGGGACATTGACATATGGGAGTGCACAGGCCACTTATCTAGAAATTCAGAAACAGAAATTTAAAATATTACAGGCAATTTCTAATAATTATTAGCCACACCCACAACAATTTCTCTCAAATTCATACTTCCTCTGGAGAGTATTAAACTACCCCATTCTCCCTTCCAGAGAAAATCATCTGGTAAAAGTTTCTGAATACATCAAAACTGAGCACACTGCAATTTCTTATTCACTGAACTGTGTTTCTTTTGAAGTGCAAATGCCAAGTCAACTACAACAGCTTTTTACACAGAACTGTGCATCTGCAAAACTGGACAAAGGCCACCTTGGAAGATAGTGATAGGAACGTGTTATTAAATCATGCACTCCACTTTGTACCTGAATTTCTCCTTTTCAAAACTGAATGGATACCAACTGACTTTATTCTTTGCCTTTCAAAAGAAACTAAATTTGCACTGACTTTGTACAGAGGTTCGGCTATAACTGAGATTATTATCCTTCCCTAAGGAGCTTATAAGACCTCTTTTTAAAATCATCAAATGGACAGCATCTTCAAATAAATCTTCTTCACATGTTCAGGCCTGACAGTCGATAACATCTTAGTTATTCCAAAGTTCAAAATCTTTCCCTCAACAAGACACAGAAATAAGGCTCTCTAAATGAGTATATACATGCATACACAACACATCTGCCATGTATTCTCTTTTTTAATAGAAGGATATGAGTTGTGGATGCCAGGGAGAACGGCTCTAAAGCCACAAATGTTGCTTAAGTCCCACTAGGTATACAGCCCATATACATCAAAGAAAATTAAAAACTATCCTTAAACGGTTTAGTATGCAAAATTCTTTTTTAAAATATTTGTTCCTCCAGTCCAATATTAACTAGTGTGCCTGTAACAGGTCTCAAACAGTCTTTCTCATCATCTATCATCTGACCCTTTTTTTATTCAGAGAAGCCATGGAGTGAACATGGGCTCAAAGCAGGTGCCAGATTACCAAGACTGTCTTGCATGAGATTAGAACAGAAGTGAGCAACTTTTTAATTGCCAGGGACTGCAGCTTTAATCATGCCACCCAAAATTAGTATCTTTGCCCCAAATTTAGGAGTCATGGCCTTAAACTGTTCTGCAAGACATAAAAACCCATCTCTGGAACAGAAGGCAGAAATTCCTCAAAACTGGGAAGCACTGGGTATCCATTACTTTCTGAAAGGAAGAAAGCACTCTCTTGCATTCCAAACTGCCAATCTCAACTCCAGAGAGAAATAGCCTCCAAACCCTGATTGCAATAAATCACTTCTCGCGAGTTAATATCATGACTTACCCTGAAAGATGTTTGTTTGATTGGCAGGCAGGCACCTACTTTGCTTTCCTGTCTTTTGTTCCAAGCCAATTAGGACTGACCAACCCATTTCTTAAACACTCTGAAGGCTGTTCAGAATGAATTTTGTTATAAAAAACAAAATCTCTTGTCACCAGCAAAGTGAATTCAAAGTCCTTACTCTCTTCCATTATAGAACACCGTGAACAAAAAGTTAATCAGTTGCTTGAAAAGCACTGTGAATACTGATCCATTCATTGATGAGCATCATCCTTGCTATTTCTTTTTCTTTTTTTAAAAAAAGATTACTTTGCAAGATTGAATCTGGGTCGGTCACCGGGCTCAGAGGTTTTAATTTTCTGAGTTTTCAAACTCTGGAGCGCATCTTCAGGGAACTTCTCTATATATGTGCTTTGGGCTATTCTGTGAGTTGAATTCATGTGGTGCCTTCCTATAGGTTGACTGGTGTGTTTATGGCAGGCGATAGGCTGTTGTTTCCTTGTGCTGCCAAACCCTCAGCTCCTAAGTACCTAATAAGCTGGTGGTTACAAAGAAACAACCAATTGCCAGCCATTAACACACCAATTAACCAATAGGAATAGGCAGCACATAAACCCGACTCATAGAATAACCCAAAGCACATATTCCAGTAGAGAAAAGTTCCCTGAAGATGCCCTCCAGCATGAGACCAAAAGCTTGGAAAAGTACATCTCTGGTCCCGGTAACCGACCCAGATTCAATCCTGCAACATTTTCCTAGGACATGTATATTTGTCTTCATTTGTGAAAGATTTTTTTCTTCAACAAAAGAATGACTATGCATTCTGTGAGAAAGTCCCCAAATAACCCTTCCTTCCTCTCTGCCTTGTATTTCCCATCTCTCTCTCTTTCTCCCTCCCTCCCTCTCTATCTCCTTCTCTCTCTGTCTATCTTAGGATTTCTGATGGGTTTTCCGCCAACTTTTAATCAGCTCTGACCTTGTTCAACTTTTGAAGATCACACACTAACATCTGGGACTACAGAAAAAAAACACAGTTCAAATAAGGATCGTGGGAAGGGGCTGGGAATCAGGTTACAATACAATTGTCTGCAAATGACTCAGCAAAAATGGTCTTCACTTGAGATACAAAACTGGAGAAAATGTTTACAGAAAAAAATGTGTTCTTATCCTCTGATACTAATACTTGGGTAGATTGGTGTGAGACAAAGAAAGCTTTATTTTCCTGGCACAATAATAATGTCTGAAATCAAAGACAACAGCTTTGTTAAAATTACAATTCCAAGACAGTTCTTGGAGTAGATGAACATTTCAAATAAACATGCAATGAACTGAAGTACATGACTACTGTGCTGTTTTCTACAGAGGTTCAACTAACCTTGGGTTGTACTTGAGTTTTCTAAAGTCATCCTATTTTGTGACCTTTTGAGAAACACAACGACGTTCTTTCAACTGCTTCCCAAGCAACTTGCTGTTCATGATAAATTTTTCATACCCAGCAATCTAGGAACCCTCAGAATAAATAAGAAAGGAAACGTCTGTCTCACATGAAAAATTTGATTGGAGATCTTTGCAGCCGTTTGGAAGTCCCAGGCAATGATGGTACGATCGGCTGAATCTTGGCTCACTGCATCCGTGCTGGTAAAAAATTCTTTTCCTTCATGGAGAAACATGATGTCCAAGGTCTGTTGAACTGTGGCTTTGTAGACTTTTATAACCTATGATTTTAAAAATTCAAAAAAGACAATATTTTTTGTTAATTTATTACGTTTCTATCTTTTTTCCTCCAGGAAGTGAATATAGCATAACCCTCCCCCAAGTGATTTCTAACTTCCCTTCTCTGACAAATAGACAAAGGCCATCTTATGATGATTAGGTAAATAAAACCTGTCACTCAAAGAAATGCAAATAAAAAAAACATTATCTCTTAGCTGATGGATAGGGTAAAAAAAATGGGAGGCCTGAGCTTCTAATGTCATTCAGATAACATGTCATATCTATATAAATGTATAGGTGGTCCTTGAAATGGAACAGTTTATTTAGTGACTGTTCAAAGTTACAAAGGCACTGAAAAAAGTGACTTATGACCATTTTTCACACTTATGACTGTTGCAGGATCCCCATGGTCACGTGATCAAAATTTGGATGCTTGACAATTGGCATGTATTTATGACTTTTGCAGCATCCCAGTGGTGCTGTGGTATTCGACTGGTTCTGCCCAGTTCTGGAGAACCGGTAGGAGCGATGAGCGCCCAAGACCAAACTGGTTCTCTCCTCTGCTCTGCTGGCTCTGCTGTTGGGCGCACCTGGGCTCCCATACTCACCTTTATCCGCTGAATTTGAAGCGCGGCTGATTTACGGAGCACAGAATACCGCTGCGCGGCAGCTGCTGAAGTGACCGGGATCATGCAGGCTTGTAGGAGGAGAGTTAGAACGCCTCTGTGCCTGCGCAAAGTGCACGTTTGACCCGCACATGCACGCAAAGTGTGTGCACGCGAGCAAAGTGCGCCCACCAAGCTACACCCAATATGGCAGCAATATTCAAATCCCACCACTGATCCCAGGTTTATGTGGTCACCTTCTGCAACCTTCTGATGAACAAAGTCAATGGAGAAACCATTCCTTTAATAACCTTGTTAGTAACTTAACAACTGCAGTGATTCATTTAACAGCTGTGGCAAGAAAAGTCATAAAGTGATACAAAATTCTGTTAACAACTGTTTCATTCAGCAACAGAAATTTTGAGCTCACTTGTGGTCATAAGTTGAGAATTATCTGTATATCTATGTTATCCCTATGTTCCACTAAGTCACATTATTAACATAAACAGATGAGTTCAAAATTGGGACAAGATTTGAAACACCATCATAAAGGAACTTATATAAGTCTCTAGAGCACGAATACCAAACTCGCTGCATCACGTTACTGTCACGTGACGTATCACAACATTTTTCCCTTTGCGGAGCTGGGGTGGGTGTGGCCTGCACGTGACACATCCAGGGGTCTGATAGCACCTTCAATTTCCATTTAGTAGTTCTCCTTTTCCACATGGTTTTATTCTATTAAAACTTTTATTAAACTATACGAAACACAAATTCACAAACAGCATATTGGAGTCATCATTGTCGTCATCCTCATCATCCTTATCACCTATTAATACTGCTACTGCTTAATATTAATTTAAAAGTTAGCTTTTTACACTATTTAATGGATAATCTTAAAAAGAAAAGCTTTCAATGATTCTTTTGATGTTCGCTTTCTAACCGTTGATCAAATTTCTTTCAAGGAAAGAAGACTGGACCTGACAGAATCTTTCTGTATGCTTTTAAAGAAAACTTCATTAGATTTCTTGATGTTTTTATTTTACACAGCACATTTTATTCTAACATTATCCATTCTCTTTCTACACTTAACTTCAAAATAGCAAGCTGTCTTCAAAGAAAGTCTGGTGCTTTATTGTTCATGCTAAAAAAACAAAAAAGGCAGGAGCCTAAGCTTTGGAAAAAGCTGCTTCTACAGTGGTAAGACTGGTTGTTATCCTATAAAACAAAAGAACAAACAGTGGAACTCTCATTATCACCAGTTTCTTGGAGTAAGAGGGCTCTTGGTATCTGGTAGATTATTTATTTGATTGATTGTTTAATCAATGTGTATGACTGCCCATTTCAAATAAATAACTTTGAGCAGCTATTTTATTTATAAAAATAAAAACGAACACACACACATAATAAATGCTATATGTTAGGAATATAAGTCACCTAACAGGTATTTGGGTTAGAAATATATAAACCAGAATAAACATTTTAGTACTATGTCTTTAAGAGATTGCAAAAACTGCAATTGGGTGTGGTTTCTCAAACGGCTATAAGATGGAGCCAGAAACCTGGTTTGTCTTAGTCTTAGTCTCAGAAGAGAGTGTGTCTGAGTGAGTATCTCTGTTTCCTTCTGTTGGAAAGTATTGCCGTTGCTCCATTTCTTCTAATTGACTGATATTACTGGATTTAATGTAAGTCTGTTACTGAACTGTTTTTTGACACTGGACTTTGATATTTGGATTATCCCTGGATGAAAACTGACTGATTTACTTGTGAATGACTTTGGATTGCTTGTTTGGACTTTGCTTAACGTTTCTGGAAGTAAAAACCTACATTTACTGTACAGTGTATCTGTGTATTGTGTGTGTATTATTCAAACACTTCTCTCAAATACGTCTCCCTGTATGCGCTCATTCTCCTAACGGGGAATTACCTCAACACTGTACATAGCTACCATGAAAAATCACAAACAGTCATTAGCCCAGGAGACAGGATCCATCCATAACACCCATGGGACCTGGAAACAAGCACAGAACCAAGTCTTTAAGGCCTTAAGAAAGGCCAGAAGTTAAAGACCTTTAGGCTTCAGAGGGATGATGTTTCAGAGCGTGGGTGCTATGACACAAAAAGTTCTCCTTAGCCAACAGGACTCAGGACATGCCAATAGGACAGGCAGAAACAACAAAGGAGATATGGGTATGGTTCTTTAAGTAATCCAGAATCAAGCCAAGAAGGGCTTTGAAGGTGACTGCCAGCACCCTTGAATTGTATCTAAGCAATGGTGGACTTGTTCTGTAACTGGAAAATAGACTGACAGAATCACTAACACCACAATTAATTCTCAATGTTCAATCAGGCTGGGAAGAATAATCAAGTAGGGAAAGCATGCACAGCACTGCTTATGGGATTCTTCCTACCCCTTTACCAACAGTGATTATAGGAGGCACCTGTATTTTATGTTATGCCACAAAGCAACGGGTTGCATTTGTGTTGGATGTGATGATTAATGGTGCTATCCATTCAATCATGCCTAATTCTATGAAGCAGCTCTCTCCACATTTTCCAATCTTGTTCGGCTTCTTTCGGTTGTTTTGTTTGCTCTGGCTGGGGTCAAAACAGCTCCCATGTTTTTCTTCATTTCAGTGATTTGGAATGCACATATCTGTAAAGTCATAATCAGAATATGCACATATATGTTGCCTCTCTCTATTTTCTGTTCTCCCCTTGTATTGCATCCATGCATGTTTGTATGTATGTGTACATTGCAAAGCATGGAGAAGGATGGTCTATTTCATACAATTAAAGGTAAAGCTTTCCCTACCAGTCGTGTCCCACTCTAGGGCACAGTGCTCATCTCCGGTTTTTTGGCCATGTGAGCCAGCGTAATTGAGAAGAAAAAAACGGGGCTTAGACTGGAATAGTTGGCATTGTTCTGAGCAACTCATCTTCAGCAACTGCCATAGAAATGCATGGGGGGATTTTGTTCTAGATCAGGGTGTCAAACTCCATTTCATCGAGGACCGCATCAGAGATGTGTTTGAGCTCGGAGGGCCGGGTGGATTGGTGGGTGGCCAGAGTTGGGCATGGTCATGGTGGGTGTGGCCATGGTGGGCGTTTGACACAGGCAAGATTCATTTTTTCCCTTCTTTCTTTTCACAGTTCTTTACTATAACCATTTTCCTATCTCTTCTACCAGATATTACTGGCAAACATAATAACATAAGATCTAACAGCAGAGGTAAATTTCCAGGATAGTAAATAGAAATGGCTGCCAATTATAAATACAGAATAGAACACAGTATATAGAATACAGAATAGATTGCTGATTGTAGATTAAATGGACCTACAGTATGTAAAATCTGGCATTAAACCGTAGTATTAACACAAGATGTTGCTTGTTTTCTATCCAGATCAGGCACTTACTTGAGGCCACATAATTGTAATCCAATCCAAGACAGTCCTCCTGCAGCACTCTCCTGATCAAAAAACGGGCTGTGCAGAGGCCCTGGGCACCCCCTCCCCGGGTGGCCCATTTTGGCCAGCAAAGGCATTTCCAGATATTTGATATTTCCAGACTGGTCCCATGGGCCAGATCTAAGCATCCTGCAGGCTGAATCCAGCCTGCAGGCCTTGAGTTTGACACCCTTGTTTCTAGATTTTTCTTGTAGATCCTTCTTGAATCTAATCATTTTTAAACCCAGTCCTTCTGTTGCCAGCTCTCCCTTCTTGCTCGATTCTGTTTTGGAGAGTTATGCTACGTGACAAGAGACCAATAGGTACCAAGTCCCTTTGCAAAATTCCTTTCAAGCACTCCAGCAGGTTGGGAAGAACAAAAAGGATTCTCAAACAGGATACTATCGAAACGAAGAGACTACTGCTTTTGTTGCCATGTGCCAAGATTCTTGCTAAACACACAAAGTGATTAAGATTCTCCTTTCAATTTTGCGTGTTAATTCTAAACTGAGCTTTAGTTCTGCAAATAAATAATTGTACTTGGATAACTTAATAAGAGAAGAGGTGAACATTGCCCGAAAAATAAATGTAAAGTATTGGCGAGAACTGTAGTCAAAATAGATAATGCTTTACATATTAAAAGCTTTCTTCTGTTGGTTGCTGTTGCCTTTTGGACAAAAATTTTGGACTGGAAGGAACATCTCATATCAACAACCTGCCACAAAATTTTTGAATGATTTCAAGCTGCACAAAGAATTTGTAGATTGCCGATTGAAAGGGACCACTCCAACAAACAAATTGTACAGGAAATTGTTGCTTGGCAACAGGAATCTTTGGAAAGGAGAGAAGTTAGAAAGATCAGATGGGAAAAAGCATGAAACTGCAGAGAATGCTAGACAACCAAGTGGAGTGACAGAAGCTAATTAGCTGTGGAGAGAACATAAAGGTTA